GACCCCCGGAAGGATCCAAAAAGTAGTTCCTTAAGGGGATTCCTATAAAGTAGCCCTTAGTAGTATAGGGTCCCAAATTAGGGGTTCTACTTTCTTGATCCTCCCGCAGTTCTGGGTTTAAAGCTCTATGGGGAGGCCCAGGGGTTCAGGGTTGAGGGCTTTGGTTCTGGAGTACCATGCTGCAGATCCGACTTGAAACTCTATGCCCGACACGCTTTGACCCTAAGCCACCCTAAGCCTAAACCCTAAAGTTCTAAAGAAGTCGTAAACACATACCTTACATGGAGTTTCATGGGACTTATTACGTACAATTATAAATACCTTAATTGGGTTTGTAGGGTAGTTATAAGCCCAGAGGGTCCAAAGGCACTAACTATTAAGGTTCTACGACGTAATGCCATGTTGAAGATAAGCTGTAGCATAAATCCATACCTGAGGACATTACAATGTAAACGGAATGGCTCGGCAAATTGTTTTCTCATCCCTGGGCTTCGAAAGCTCGATCATCCATCGTCCGTCGTGACCGCATGACCTTAAACGTTCTGCAACGGAAGGCACATTACTCAATAAATGTCAGACGAGCCGCGAATTGAGGAGACATCTTCGGCATCATCACGGCACATCTGGAAACCTCAGCTTTTTTTCAGCAAGTTCGAATGGGAACACCACTATCTAGGCTCAGCCTCCGAATCTTGAGACGGGAAGCTGGCTGTACACTCGCTGCAGAAAGCTCGATTCCAGCGTGGCTCGATGGCATACCCGGGCTAAGGCTTTGCACGTGGACATATAGGACTCGTCCCGAAAGGTGTGTGAATACTTTGGGTTGTGTCCTTGGCTGTCTCATGTACATGTGAACAGAACCCCTAGCATGAGTGCAAAACTAGCTGTATCATCCATGCGGCCATCCATCCAGGCCATGTGCACAATCTCTTGCATTGCCTCGGCTCAGAAATGTTCAGAAAATCCGGATGATCATGTTCATATGTCTCCCGCAGAATTAAGTCTAGCAGCGTGGATTTTCGGTCTGAGAAGCCAGTTCAAATCCCCAGACCGTGCAGATTGCTTCGCAAGTCGAGCATATGCCACACCGAATTTGTCCTCGGAAAGGAGATCAAAAGGCTTTATTTCAAAACAGCAGTCACACCGAAAACCCAAAAAGTCAATCATTCTGAAATGCATCGAAGTGTCGGATGCCTCCATGAGGCCGTTTCGCTCCTCCATTTGCATATACTTTCCATATCTTTCCATCCTGTTGAAGAATTCGGCGAGCCAGTGCCTGAATAGTTGGAGCGAGTAGTCGAGCAAACACATGCATGCATGATGTAATCATTTCGCGACATTTTCGCCGGGTCACACTGCTTTGACCATTGTCTTCATGTGGTCGCTCCCAAGCTCAGGACGATCCCTGTAGAGCTGAAGCACACGAAAAGCCAACCAAGCAGTCACCACCCGGGCCTAAGTTGTCAAAGGCTATAAGCTTTATAAGCGGAGTCGGTTACCGGCAGTTGGACCATGCATGCATCCAGGCAACATTGTGTCCTTTCATAGTGAGCTCAGCATATCCGGTCACCGAATCTCGCATGTTCGATGGCTTGAACTCCGGCTGCGAGTGCCTGAACGAAACAGCTCCGATGGGGTAGCTATGAGCTACAGGGTAAGGTGCGACTTAGAAACTCGACTTTGTTTTCACGGGCCCAGGAAACGAAATCTTCGTAGGCCATGGCCAAGCGTGCGCTCGCAGTGTCCTTCGCTTTTGTGCCCGGTGGAGGCATCCATAAGTCCTGAGTTTTGTCGCAAAATAGAGGCCCAGGGGCCTAACCATCATAATTACACATGCATGCACACATGTATAATATGACATGCGACCTCGAGTTTCAGTAACTCCATAATCGTTGACCCGGCTGTCCACAAGCATAGCCCCAAGTTCAGTGTATGAAGGGTGCAGAACTTCATGATGGAATGGTGAAATCCATGCACCTTCAAGAGGTGGCCTCGGATGCAATGCTCATGATTCTTATTAGCTACCAAGGTGACCAACATATAATTCCAAAGCCTGTGCATTATTTCGCAGTACAGCATCATTTCTCTCCACGAAAAGGCTTGCAGATAGACTCAAACTCCGAAAGAGATCGGCGTCTTTGAAACGGCACCTGTGAAGGAAAGTGCAGGTAGTCCCCGTCCGTACAAAAGCATTGGTGGCAGATCGAAGAGCAGTTGTAGGCGGCCCCGAGATTGAATAATTCCTGGATGGAGATTTTCGGCAAACACGGGTTAGGGAGTATGTGGGGTGTCTGAATACATGCTATAGCTCATGATTGCAGACAAGAGACTTTAAAGAATTTCCAATCCGACCGGATCTCGCAGAGCCCAGCCCTTGGGAAGGTGTGGCAGTCGGATCCACAGGGTTCGTCAGGGTCGCTTCCGATGTCTCCCGGTCGAAGATTGTCTGGATCAAGGTGCAGAGGAGCACGGCCAAGGAAGCAAAAGTTGAACGAAGCCGCTATCTAGGTCAGGGCGAGCAGGCTAGCATAGTGCAATCTCGAAAACAGCAACCCCGAGCTTAAACAAACCGAGGCACCGGGCGAAGATAGGCCTGCAGAGTTCCAAACCCTGTGCTCAGAGCCTGAGTTAGGGTGTAGGGTTGAAGGGTAGGGGTTCAGGGTTTAGGATTTTATAGATGCGTTATTATTAGGAATAATTGGAGAATAGGTGCCGGCAGTATAAGCTATTCAATTGGCCAAGTTGCGAGTCTGATTACCACCAGAGGAAACCGATCTTGCACCTCATCCAGCATAAAGTTCATTGAGATAGCTATGACCTTAGCTCCGTTGTCCAAATAGCGGGCGTCGTCTCCATGCAAGCCCATCGGCAAGCCATCTGGCGGTGCCATCGGCGGCCAAGCTATCTCGCTACTTGTCTGCCCATGGAAGTGGTCCCAGAAGTTCCTCAATGCAGCGGGTGGGTTTAACCTTGCTAATCGTCCTTCCTGATGCAGAGCATTGAGTATGTCGTGGGGCAGCACGACTGGCATTTGCCTGAGGTTGTTCAGGCCCATAGGAACCACTGCAAAGCACTAATTGGACTCGAACGGGTTGTTATGCAGCAGACAAGAGTCTTGTCCAGCACCTCCCAGGATCCGCGAATCTTCTTTCGCACAGGCACGGTCACCATTCTGATGTTGACCTGACAGCAGTGGCCGATGTAGCAGTGCATGGATGATCTTGTTAGCCGATCGTTGTAACATCTCTGAGCTGCAAACTTTGCAAGACTGCGAGCGTCGCAGAATATCTCGTTCGATGTTCGAAGCATGTTCGCCACTTTTACCAGCAGTGGCCATCGACGTCAACCCACGGCCAGGCACCACTTTGTTCGATCGATAATCCTGCCGTGCAGCTCTGATGCTCGGCGCAATTGCCAATTTGTTATATATAATAAGGCTGACACCTCCCAGTCCTGCAGTGCAGCATAAGCCAGCTTCTGTGCGGCAGTGTAGCTCAGCTCCTGCGGTTAAGAAACCCTTATCGCCCTGACCTAAGCTTAAGTTACCCCTAGCTTGAGCCTTATAAACCCTTTTTATTATATTCTCTGGACTTAGGGTTTATTATGGGTTTTGTTTTCAGGTCTTAGGGTTTAGGGATCAGGGTTTTAAAGTTTCAGGGTTTAGGGTTTATTAGGGTTTAGAGTTTCAGGGTTTGGGGTTTGGGGTTTAGGGCTTTGGGCTTCGGGTTTATTAGGGGTTTTAACTGGGTTTGAGGTTTCGGCTTTGAGCTATGGGGCATAGTTTCAGCTCCAGTCCCCGGCACAGATCATAGTTCGCAGCCTTTTGTGCAGATAGCTTCCACCAGGCCCAGCATTTGGCCTTTCTCCTGCGAGGGATTGCAGACATGTCATTATCATCGATCATCTATGTGCCTCTAGATCTAGATTCTAGATACCACTCGCACTCAAGACACATTCACTTGAATTGTTTTCTCCCTCGCCTCAGGCTCTTGAGACTCCACACATATGCAGGATCTCCCGCATCATGTGATCACTGGAAATTTCAGGATTGGACCGGGGAGGCACTTGCAGGCCCCACATGTAGGAACAGGAGCACACACCAAACTCGCTGTAAGGTGCATGCACAAACTAGTCTTGTGGCTTACAGCTGCAGAGCTAAGGTCGCCCACTGCCCTGTCATGTCATGCATTGGACATCAAACCTCTAGCTTTAGCATAGAGTATGTATGCAGCGGCGGCCACTGCAGCTTGCCAATATGTGTAGTGCACACATCAGCACATCAGCCGATCATCTTTGGCGAGGGTCGAGTGCTCCCTCACACTCCACCTCACCGTAGCTTCGCCACACTCCACCTCACTGCAGCTTCGCCGATGATTTGGCTTTTGGAGTCTTCTTTGGCGCGGGCTCGACCTGATGGTACTTAAAAGCTTAGCTATAGCATAGATAAATTACATGCTACCATGAACTCGTGCCATAAGGACATGCTTTGACTGGAAGCAATCATTCCGCCAAGAAGCATACAGAGTCTTGATGGCCTTGATCGCGACCCCATAGTTGTCAATTGCTTTGCCCAAATCGTCCACCAGCGGCTTCAGCTGAGCCTCCTCTTTAGCACCTTCGACACACTTCATATCCAAGGCGTCTGTCTTCTCCTGGACCGGCGAGATGTGGAAATCGATCTGGCTTATGTAGCCCTCGGCCATGAGCTGGGACCTGGCTGCTACTTTTGGGGTTGGGGTTTGGGTGTAGGGTTTAGGGTTTAGGGGTTTCGGGTTTAGGGGTTTAGGATTTAAGGTTTAGGGTTTAGGAGATGTGGAGGGGGATTGTGGTTGGAATAGTTCAAGGACTGGGAACTTGCATCGAATGTTTGGGTCTGGGGTTTCGGGTTTGTTTCTTAAGAAAACGATCACTTGCAAGGGCTCGTTTGGGTTTAGGGTTTAGGGTTTAGGCTTTAGGGCTTTAGGGGTTTAGGGTCTATAGGGGTTTAGGGGTTTAGGATTTATAAAGGTTTATTAAGGCTTCGGAGATGTGTAGAGGACAGGGATTGTTGTTGGAATAGTTCAAGGATTGGGAAATTGCATCGAATGTTTGGGTCTGGGGTTTCGGGCTTGCTTCTTAAGACAACGATCAATTGCAAGGGCTCAGCGGTTTGTGGGCAGTAGATCAGTAGATCAGCTACGGGGCCCGCGAATGTTTGGGTCTGGGGTTTCGGGCTTGCTTAAGAAAACGATCAAGGGCTCAGGCGGTTTGTGGGCAGTAGATCAGCTACGGGGCTCGGGCTTCGATGGTTTGCTAAGGTCAGTACATAGTATCAAATCCTGTTTAGGGTCTGGGGTTGGCAAAGATTTTTGGGTTTGCATGATTTCGAAAGGATCGAGAGCTCGAGAGCTTGAGACCATTGAAGACCCTCGTTCGTACCCTACACCCCAAAACCTCTTAATAGGCCCAAAACCCAAAACCCCAATTTATAAAATAGGGCTTAGGGTTTAGGGCAATTTAGGCCTTGCAAGGCCTAAATTGCCCTAAACCCTAAGCCCTATTTTATAAACCTTAAGCACTCCAATCCTCAAACCCCGATGCCTAAACCCTGACTAAACGTTTCAACCTCAAACCCTATATTTGTAGCCTATAACCCAAAACCGTGTCGCAACATTGTGCACTGTAGCTATAGATTTTAACATTGGAATATCAACCGGATAGTATCTATGGCGCTCGACAGGATTTGGGATGAATGATCATATTAAGGTTTAGTTTCTAGGTTTATGTAGGCAAGAGGCGCTTTCCGCTCCTCCACCGGCTTTGCAAGATCCTTCTGAATCACTCGCTTCCAATAGTTCCCGTCCGTCACCGTGGACCTGCCAACCTTAATCTTCGACTGTGCCTTACCACTGTAGTTCGGGGCCTTCGGTTGCTTGGTCTTGTTGTCCGGCTTCGGCTTCGGCTTCTTGGTTTGCTCGTCGCCGGTTGGCCCCCCCCCGGCGGAAGAAGATGAGGCTCTGTTCACCAGATTGAGCTCGGCTGCCTGTGTGGCTTGCCTGACATAAAGAGCTTCAAGGGGACTACAGGGACTACAGATAGGGGCTCGTGATGTCGCTAGTGTAACCGTACATGAGTTTAAGCTAAGTAGCATGAAGGCCCTCGTCTGGTCACCATTCAAGTTTCCAGAAGCCCGGAACAAGTCCTCCTTTTGATCCTGCAACGTCCTGGTAATCGAGGCCTGGTTGAAGGTGAGGAACATCTGGTAGTCCTGATTTTTAGGGGGTTTGGGTTAAGGGAATATTATATATATATATATATTATATAGGGTGCGATAGTTATCCCATACCAAACCTCAGGATAGGGTTTTGGGTTTAGGGTTTAGGGTTTAGGGTTTAGGGTACTAGGATGCCTGAGTAGACATTTCAAGCCAGCTATATGCAGGCGGGTTGCTTCCTCCTCCGGAAAATCCGGATGCTTATACCACCATGGACAGCCCTCGTAGCAGTCTCCTTGGGAGGACTGCTGCTGCAGCCGCGTGCTGCGAAGCTTCTCTGCCAGCAGCTGTCCGTGCTCCTGGACGAGGTCCTTGAACCTTCTGTAGACTTCGGAGCCCTTGCGGACGGTGCTGTCGGTTGAAGTCTGCGTGCGAACGATTGTGCTTTGCAGCCAATTCTCGTTGGAGTCGACATATGCTTGGAAGAGGGCTTTGTTCACTTTGCGATCTTAGTCGTTGTGTAAGGGCTTATACTTAATATTATTTTTAATTATAATTATATATTAAGGTCTAGGGTTCGGGTCTAGGATCCAATCCGGGCATAAATACCATCCTATTATACTCCGTAGCATTCAAACTATAGAACCCAAACCTTTGCCCGAGCAGCTCCCTTTGGCTTCCTGCATCTTAGCCAAGACCTCTGCCGGGCAGTCCTCTCCTCGGCATACAGAAGAGGTAGCTCGTAGCCTAATGGGTTGATCATGGGTCTCAGGGGAATTGTAATATTACAATAATATAAGATCAAGCCTCTGTCGAAGGTTCGGCTCATCCTGTTATAGAGTCGCTTCCTGGCCCTCTTCGCAACGAGAGAGTGAGCAAGCTTCCTCGGGTCCTTGGCAGGCAGCTGGGCAATGTCTGCGGCGATCTGCATCTTGGAGATGTCATCGGTGCTGGCTGCATCCAGCTCCTCGGCCAAAGCCAGCACTGCAGCCCCCATGTCATCCTTCGAGCAGGTTTGGGGGTAGAGGGTTATTGTTTACATTGGGTTTAGGCCTCAGGTTCAGGGTTCAGGGTTTTTGTTTAGGGTTTCGGCTTTAGGTTGAGGGTTCGGGGGTTAGAGATTCAAGATTCGATTATTATAATCATTTAATTTCAAAACAGGCATGATTCTTTTCCCAACACAAGTCTGCTAGTAGATTGAAGCAGCAGTCCTCGGGTTCCGGATCAGTAAGACCGCTGCCCAGCTTCTCAATCTTGGTTGCGACAGCCTGCGAAGCGGAAGCCGGCGGGGGCATCTGGAGCTCAGTCTTCTCGGGCACTGTCGGTTTCATTGGGGACCCAGGCATCGCGGTAGTAGCCACAGGTTGCTGCACAGTAGCTTCGCCCTGCTGTAGGTCGTCATTCTCATCATCCAGAATCAGGTAGCAGTCACTTGTCGCCACATCCTTCGAGTTTGGGGTTTTTGGGGCTTGGGGTTTAAAAGAGTCGAATATATATAACCGGGAGTTCGGGGTTTTGGGGCTTAGGCTTAGGGTTTATAAAGGGTGAGTAGCTACACTCACAGCAGAGGTCCTGAAGCCTGGGCGGCGACTGAATCTGCTCTTCCTTGAGTATCAAGGCCTGCAAAGGGGATCTCGGAGGTCAGCTGAGGCTAGGGGTGGCAGCTATAGATGATAAACTTTTGAGATAACCCTGCCAGTATTTTCGGTTTTGGGTAGTCCAATGAGCACTACATGGTACATTACTTTGGGGGTATACGAACGGCTCCAGTACAGTCGGCAGCATCAGTCAGGGTCTTCGGGATCATTATAGGGTTCAGGGTTTAAGGGTTCGCACATATAGTGTAACCGCCCTCTCTGTATACAAGGACACATATACGTATCTTATGACACATACATATACACACATGATGTACATATATATAATACTACACGATTTTACACTCTATATTACATACATACATACATACGTATACATACATACATACATACATACATACATACATACATACATACATACATAAACGTGGTGACAAAACGTGTGTACATGTATGTAGCTAGCACATGGATACACACGTGTACATATACACAATCAAGAACAGTCAGACCTCCAGCTTCTGGGTGAGCTCGATGTCTAACATGTCGTCGTCCACCGTATGGAAGTCACCTAGCTGAGTATCCTGCTCCCCCGTGGCTACTGGCTTGTTCTGCACGTCCACCTGCTGCTCCCCCGTGGCTACTGGCTTGTTCTGCACGTCCACACTTGGCTCCTGCGACTTGTTCTGCACGACCGCACTAGGCTCCGGCGACTTGTTCTGCACGACCGCACTAGGCTCCGGCGACTTGTTCTGCACGTCCACACTTGGCTCCTGCGACTTGTTCTGCACGACCGCACTAGGCTCCGGCGACTTGTTCTGCACGTCCACACATGGCTCCGGCGACTTGTTCTGCACGTCCACACTTGGCTCCGGCGACTTGTTCTGCACGTCCACACTTGGCTCCTGCGACTTGTTCTGCTCGTGCTCACTTGGCTCCGGCGACTTGTTCTGCACGTCACCACTCGGCTCCGGCGACTTGTTCTGCTCGCCAACACTTGGCTCCTGCGACTTGTTTTGCACGACCAAACGGGGCTCCGGCGACTTGTTCTGCTCGTGCACACTGGGCTCCGGCGCTTTGTCCACACTCGGCTCCGGCGACTTGTTCTGCACGACCTCCACACTCGGCTCCGGTGACTTGTTCTGCACGACCTCCACACTTGGCTCCGGTGACTTGTTCTGCACGACCTCCACACTTGGCTCCGGTGACTTGTTCTGCACATCGACCACACATGGCTCCGGTGACTTGTTCTGCACATCGACCACACATGGCTCCGGTGACTTGTTCTGCACGACAGCACTCGGCTCTGGTGACTTGTTCTGCACGACCACACGGGGCTCCGGCGATTTGTTCTGCAAGACCACACGTGGCTCCGGTGACTTGTTCCGCACGACAGCACTCGGCTCTGGCGACTTGTTCTGCACCTCCACAGAATTGTTGAGCTGGTTCACGTCGTTCTCCTTCTCGCTGGTGCTGGCCGCCGTCGGTCCTGCCAACTTCGATCTGAGTCGCCTTGCCGCCATGTCGGCTGCATTCAGCTCGCTCCAGTACTCAAACATCTGGCGAAAGCTTTGCGAAGCCACTTCCGGCTCCCTGTCCAGGATGTAAGTAAGGAGACTTTGTACACGACGTCCTCCCCAGCCGATGTACTCCGTGGCCTTGTCGTCCAGGTTCTTCATCTTCGCATCGATGCCTGTGAGCTCATTCTTCAGCCAGTTCGAAGCCACATTCCTCCTCACCTCCAAAGTCTCTTCTGGAAGTTTCTGCAACAGAGCTTCTGCGACGATGTTCTTGGCAGCATCCTCGGCTGTGCACTTCAAGTCCTGCAGCTGGCTCGCATATCGGTTCCTCATCTTCAGAATCTTGAACATGTCCTTCAACAGCTGCTGCGTCTTTGTCACACTCGAAACTAGCCAGTCGGGACCCTTGGAGTTGTCGATGAGCAAAGCAACTGCATCACCCTCCAAAAAATCGGAGAGGAACCAGTCCCTCATGGCCGAAACACTCTGGCCGACACTCGCCGACGGCTCCAAGATTGCACTCCCAAAGTCGCAGGCTCGTACCTTCATCGCCTCAGTCAATGTGATGGCATGCTTTCGATCCGGGCTGGGAGTGCCCACCCCAACCCACGGAACGGTCGTCTGCGTCTCGAGAGGACCACCTTAGCTTCGGATCGTTGCCTCAACATAAACTAAGTCCTTGTGGATCTCGTGCATAAACAACAGCAGACGAATCACATGGTAATATACTATCGACACCAGGCACCTTTCGGAACACCCTCCTCCTCCGCCTTTGTGGCCTTGCACTTCTTGTTCGGCGGGCTTTTCACCGGAGTCGCACCGGTCTTAGGCGGCTTAGGCGGTGCATTCGGCGACCCCGCCCTGCAAGTCGAAGCTTTGCCTGACATTCCAATACGTACAAAATAACTAGATTGCTTTATGGTCGCCCCGTGCCTTTAACTCCCAAAGCAGCCGCGATCTCCAGTTCCACATCGAGAACCGACCCTGTTGAAGCCGCCGAAGTTCCAGAAACCTAGGGCGATATGGATGGGGTCGATCTATTGGATGTTATTTGTCTGTTTCTTATGTATGCACACACACAACCTACATACCTCTAGATCTGTCTCTCTTTCTTTCTTTCTCTCACTCTCTCTCTCTCTATATATATATATATAATATATATATATATAGATATGTGTGTGTGTTAGTATGTATCTACACATATATATATATACATGACATATATATATATATGCATATATGTATGTACATGTGTACAAGAAAGAGATATATACATATATATATATATATATTTAGATACGACACACACAAGCATATAAATTAGTACTGTATTATATATATATATATGCATATATATATATAACAAACTGATCGATATCTAGATCTCTATATCGCATGCGTGTGTGTGTGTGTCTGTTTGTGCATGCACATATATATATATATATATATACATATATACATACATACATACATGTGTGTATTATATAATATATATTGTACACGTGTACACACATACATGCGTATATGAGGGTATGCATATATATATATATATACGAATTCAGGCATAAACTGCCTCACGGGGGTTCATTCATTAGATAGAGTCCTGATCAGGATCCACGGTGCGGGCCCTATATGGTTTATTCTAGGCCTAAGGGTTCTATTGAAGAGGTTTCTGGGCCAATGGTTCCTCGACTAGTAGCTAGTGTTACGTACAGTTTTACTTTATTACTTATAATTATAAGACCTTTGGTAGCCCACACTACAGATCAAAACCATAATTCCAGCTTGCTGGGATGAAACACTACAATTGTACTGGCTAGTTACTCCAAAGCCATCGCAGTTCATAATGGACGGAGTACATTCATGTGCATGCGAGCAGCTTGGGAGTCCGAGGAATCCGGCTTGCGAAGGTGGTAGGGTGCCGACCTACCTGCCTTTCCCATTGCTCAGCTTCTCCCGTGCTGCTGTGCACCGGTCTAATGCTCCCTGAGCAAACTGCTCGACACATAAAGCCTGGAAGAGGACTTGTGGATACGATCCTGACACTGCATGGGAACGACACTTTACGTAGAGGACTAGGCTCCTAGAGTTCCCGCTAGTTCCCGCTAGTTCCCGCTACCACCCCCCAAAGACCCTACAGGGTGAGGTCTTTCAGAACTAATTCCCGCTAGTTCCCGCTAGTTCCCGCGAGCCCCCTCTAGGAGATTATGCCCCGACCCCAGGAAACACCCGAACCTCACTGAAATTGTTACGGTTTACATGGAAAAGTTCCCAGGCAGCCCCTGGAAGCCTTCTGAGCAAGTCTTCATGTAAAATTATTTGCCTTGGCCCGCTAAAGCCTCTATGCCCAAAAGACCTATCTCAGGAAATCTTAATGTAAATACCATTCCCTGTATACTCAGACCTCTGGAGTAGCTGTTCACAAGCGGTAATCTAGTGCTACTATAGGTATCTATCCGATTCATCAGTATCTAGCAGATCGATTTGAATGCATGCACAGTCACATTCGCAAGAATATATAATATAACCTTATAATATAGTATAATATAATTATAATATATATATATAATATTATATTTGCAATGTGCACAGTGCATGCATTCTCATCGATCTAGACTTGATCACCCCAGCTCAAGCCAAATCGCACGAACAAACCCCAACCGGTGCTCCTTTCAGTTCGACTAACCCACACATTTCGGCACATATAAACCCTCGATGTACACGAAGCTAAGGCGATCTGAACCCTGGTGAGCAGCGGTCTGCAGCCGCTGGGCATGAGCTTTCAATCGGCGATGCTACTTGACAAGATCTGGCTGCTACGGGAGGGATCCCACAACAATCGAAGTCGAAGACGTTAGCTAGTTCAGCAGCTAAGTAAGTTTAAGTAGGGCCCCATAATGCCAGTATCGATCGGCTTCTTGCAGGATCCGGAGTCGCAGCACAAACTCCCTAGACTAGACTACATCTGCTAGGTCTGAGGGATTTAATTAGGGGTTTGGAGGATCATTGTATAATTACACTAGCAATTCTCGGCTTCTTGCAGAATCCAGAGTCGCAGTACAAACTCCCTAGACTAGAGCCGGAAGGTCTTAGGGCCTGAGGTCTGTATATATATATATATGTACTATATATATATATATATAGGGGTTTGGGGTATGTCGTACTAATTATAGGGTTTTAGTGATAAATGTAATATTAGCAAACCGAAGACTTCGAACAAACCCATCCCCGTAAATCCCAGCTTGCCGCTGTCATGGGCCATCACCGGAGCGAGGATAAGCTCATCTCGGAGCCAGCCTCGGCGAATAGGATCGAAGCTTTGGGGGTGGATTGGATATTATCTCGGTGGGGTTTGGAGTGTAGGGTTCCTAGGATGCTTCTACAGGATTACCTCGGGTGGACTTCAATTATTACTTGCTGGGCCTTTTAATTGAGGATAAACTTCCATGGCCATAATTCGAGGAATCCTTACAGAGTAAGTATGAAACTTATATTTATTATACATATATATACAAATATATATGTATATATATATATGTATATATATATATATAGATCATATGGGACTAGGTACCGGTAGGGTTTAGTGGGTTCGGGATTTTCAGCCTAATAGGAGTCGAGCTGGGTGGGTGTTTGTGCGTGAGAACACGTCCCTGAAGACCACAGTTCGATTACTGAATTCGAACTAAGGTGCTCTACATATACTCCCAAAAAAGCCTTGAGTGCAAATATTTGATAAGGCATCCAACAGCAAGCCCACTCGGCCCCGGTAATTCTACTCGCCCAAACCCTTCCTAGGGGTAGGTACGGTTCAGAGTTGAGGGTTTGGGGTCGATCATCCCCATGATATATATATATATATATATGTATATATGTATGCAGGGACCAACCCTCGACAAGGATCCGAATTCCGGAAGAAGTCCTCTAACATCCCATGATGGAACCCACACACGTGTAATTTGCATACATTGTAAATTCACATGCATTTTTCTATCATCGTATCGTATCATACTCTAGGGTTTTGGGGTTTCGGATGTAGGCTCTAGGGTTTCGGGGTTTAGGGTGGTTTAGGGTGTAGGGTTTTTAGGGTGTAGACTCTAGGGTTTATGGTGGAGGGTGTAGACTCTAGGGTTTAGTGGGGTTTAGGGTGTAGGGTGTAGACTCTAGGGTTTATATGGGTTTGGGATTTAGGGTGTAGACTCTAGGGTTTCTTGTCGCAGCTTACCATAACATATCAGATGAGATATGTTCCCATATCATGTACGTATAAGAATATGTACATATATATATATATATGTGAGGAGCCACCCAATGACTACACGATCATGGTAGTTGAGGCAGCCGCTGGCGATAAGGTTGCGTCCACAGGATCGCGATGCCATTCATGGTGCATTTCTGGCCTGCCAAAGATCTAAGTTTAGGGTTGAGGGTTTAGGGTTATAGGTTTATATAGAGGGTTTACAGGGCTTATTACAGGGACTCTAGGGTTTATATATGGGGTATTTAGGGTTCTAGAACTAGGGTTTGTGTTATAGGGGGTTCGGGTTAATCAGGGGTTCATCGGTTTGAACCGGCGGTGGCAGGAGTTGGTTTAGGACTTATGAGATCATGAGGTTATAATTAAGGAGTTATCATCGGCTTCTTCAGGGATCGATGTAATGCCTGGAGGGCTCGTGGCTTGGGTTGTTTTTAGCGAGGTTTGAAGGATTACACAGGGGTTCATGGAAGGGGTATAGGGTTCTTGAACTAGTGTTTGTATTATATAGGGGTTTAGGGTTAATGAGGGGTTCATGGGTTTGAACCGGCGGTTGCACTTGTTGGTCTAGGATTTATGAGATGAACTGGATAAGGAGTTAGCATAGGCTTCTTCCGGGATCGATGTAATGGCTGGAGAGCTCCTGGCTTGGCTTGTTTTTAGCGAGGTTTGAAGGATTTCACAGAAGCCTTCGCCTCGCCTAGATGTGATGTTTCGCTATAGGGTCTTCTTCGGTTATTAGTATAGGCCTTATAAGGGCCCAAGTATAATAACCATCTACTCTCCCAAACGGCAACCTACATAACTATTCTCCGAAACCTGAATATACCTAATTACTGGGCCCTTCGGATATATACTATTTATCCTAAACCCCTCGCTACGTTTTCTACCTGGGCTCTCGGTGGCGGGAAGGGGGGGTGCCCCAATAGTTTGGGGGAGTTCCCCATGGCCATCAGTTTTGGGGGAGTGCCCCAGATGGTACAAGAAGCCACGGCTTCAGGCATGACCCAGATGTCGGGAACATAAGCACCGGATCACAGTGCATGACATTCATCTTCGTCCCGATCACCAGACAGTGGGTCGCTCCTCCGCAATCGGCGGGTGTTATGTAGACTCTGAAAGCGGCCGCGATTGCTTGTGCTTCGTGAAGAAACCGGTGGGCTGTCGACCGTGTCCGCCCAGAGTCCGTTTCTTGCAATGTCGCCTTCACTCGCACCCACGTGGGTGAGCCAGGAGCTGGCCAAGCGGTTACCATATGTGCACAGAGCGTGCCGGCAAACAACTCCTAGGGACTAGTATTGCTCAATGCCACACTATAAAACAGAAACCCCGTCAAATGGTAGATCTCTAGCTAGTTATTTAACAGCAATTGGCCAGCCAGCAAGACATACAGCACAAAAACACCGAAGCTATCTACTTCGCCACGAGGCTCCTAAGGCTCCCCTATATCGCCAATGCCGTGACATCGAATCGTTAGCACCTAAACCCAAGGGCCTTAGTGCCTCTGAAGTCCCAAAAATATACCTAGCTAATCCCCGAAGCTAATCATTCCATTATAACCACCACCCCTAAAGTTTCACTACATCCACCTGTACGGGCTAGCAGCATCAATTCGTCACCCAATATTCAATGTTCCGACATCTACTCCCGAGGCCTCCTATCTCAAGCCCTAAGAAAAAACCTAAGGCTCCCCCCCTATGAGAGCTGGTCCAATCAGCTTCCCTGGCTGTTCTTCGTGATCATAAACCCCAATTGCAACCGATACCCTAACCTCTAGCCGGCTACAAGGTATTCTCAAGATGGAATGCGGAGCGACTTGGAAGATTGGAGGAGGCTTCTTATAATTATGTAGGGTTTATACATAATAAGTGCTCAAGTTTGAGGTCGATGCATTCCGGCTGGAGCATCCTGCTTCGTCTACTATTTGATAAGAGACCTTAAGCTCCAGCTTCGGGATTTAGGGTTTTCGGCTGTAGGGCTCTAATGCCGGAGCATCCTGCTTCGTCTACTATTTAGTAAGAGACCTTAAGCTCCAGCTTCGGGATTTAGGGTTTTGGGTTGTAGGACTCTAATATTTCCGGCTATTTTGCTCTATGCCTAGTACAGCAGGCAACTAGGGTTAGGGGTGTGTACCTAGGTATAGGTGAAATCGAAAAAAACAAAAAGCCCGAAGCCCACACGGCTTAATTCTCCGGATCCTAGCTACCCCTAACCTAAAGCCTTCTCAAACCCAAGCGCCCGAAACCCCGAAAGCTAAATATGCAAACCCCCAATTATTGCAAACCCGAGATATCTATAATATTTATATTTGAATTGTACATAAACTAGAGCCTAAACCCCAAGTTCCCAAGTAACCCTACCATTCCTGCTCTCTGCCTCGAAGACTGCGTGCATCCCAAGCCCTGGGCCGAGGGCGGTAGGTTTCATCTTGCTCGGTTTCAGGGATCAGGGATATAATAGTACACGTATACGTACGAGCTTTCCGGGGGCTTCTGCTTTCGAAATTCGGCTTTCAAATTACGAGCGAGGGGCTTAAGCTTAAGAGACGGAATCAAAAAGACTATAGTTCTTCATTGAATGCAGGGGTGTTGGGCCACTACCGGGCTTAAATAGTTAAAATGTGATATTGGACAGAATGCCTTCAGGGATGATGTTTCCGTTGCAGGCTTTCGTCGTCCCTCTATATCCGGGTTATGGGAGCTGAAGAAATTCGAAGTTGTGTATACTCTTGGGTTCTCTATGGGCCAGGATAATCAATTCCTATTATGGGTTAGCTAGGTGTACTGCTCTTAGGCCGAGGCTTTGGCCTTTCTCGCGAATCCTGAAACTTATCGTCCACAAAGCCTCCGACCCCTAAAACCACTGGACCTTACTTACCTCGTGATTCCGGAAGCCGAACCCTCAAATCTGTTCTCTCTCAGTCTCTCTCTCTCTCTCTCTCTCTCTCTCTCTTTATAAATACAGTATAATAAATCAAGCTAGATCCTGCAACACCCCGACCCCTCCACTGCTGCCCCTGGGTGCCCAAGCCTCACGTCCTCATCTGCTGCCACCTCATCAGCCTGAGAGGGATATCGGGGGAAAGACGTGTCTCTCTCGTTTACAAGATTAGTATATTGCACCGTGGCTCGATAATAAAAAACGAGTATGTAACATACGAAATCGTACCGGTACCTTCGACACTAGCTGAGATTCTAGACCCAAGAGAAACCTAGTTTGAATAATATGGATACCGTTGCAATAAAGGGACTTATAATAGGGAAGTTGAACCCCAAAAAAGGGAATAATAAGGGCATACTCTAGGACCCAGGATTAACATTTAGATGGACACCTGGTACAGGGTCAGCATGATCATGTCCTGGGGGCAATTTTATCTGGGGGGATCCACGGAGCAAACTCGGCGACCCGTGCAGTTAAGCCCAAGGACTTAGTAGGGGGTTGTAAAGGTTAACCTCATTGCTACCCTCCGTTAAGAAACCGCACAAGGAGCCCGGAGAACAGCCCCGGAAACGGCGAACGTTGAGCCCAGAAACGGATCCAAGGGTTCGACTGCTGCAGCTTCCACACGGCGAAGACAGCACAACGGTTCCTGGGCGAGGTGAGGAGTACATACTGACCTAGGGGTCCACATGGGTTTAGGGTTTAGGGTATATAACCTCCCAACTAAACTTTGGCATGGGCAGCACCGGCTAGCTAGCATAGTTATTTTACAGTTAGGCCATCACGTACATTTCAGAATCACAATCTTGCCCAGGGTCATTCAGAATTGTCGGGATCACCGGCTCAGATATAGACAGAAGGCTCCAGGCAAAGGCCGTATATGCACAAAGCCTAAGAAACACATTGGCCAGTTGCTACACCCAAGTGCTAATATTAGTGTAACTACAAGCAACATACGGTGTTACACTAATTGATCATGCGAGTGTACAAACATCACGACATGATGCGACCTCAAGCTCAGCACGGACTCGTGCGGCAAAGGCTCATGATCGGATCAAAGGATGCAAGCAAGCACAGCTATACGAACAACTGACACTCACTTTCCACACACACCCTGTTGCCACATGAAGTTCGGTCCCCCACTTCTGGGGGATGTGTGGCGCTATGCAACACCCATCGTGGATGAATTGCAGCTGTGGAATTAACATGAGCCAAGCACTCCAGTCGGGCCGTTTGAAGTGAGGCGATGATGAAGTTATGCAGGCTATCAGCATTATGCATCACGGGCCTAACGAGTGCCGACGAGGCTACATCCTAGCCGTTGAAATCTCAACGGGTTTCCTAGCACATGGCAGTAGCTATACCACCACGGCAAAAGGGCACCATGCCCATGCTTGGGATCCTGAATCGCAAACCTTTCTAAATCCTGAACCCAAAGACCAAAAATCTAGAACTCAGACCCATTCTAAACACCCGATCAGGAAGTCTGGATTATCGAAGCTTTGATCCCATGGGCAGGCGTGCAAGGGATGCCGGGCTTTTCTAGGTGATAGGGCATCGGTAGTCAAGCCCCTGTTAAGGCCAAGTTTAAATGCTTCATGATCATGATCATGCTGCTAGGCTTGCCTGTATCGAAACTTTAAGCGGCCACCCTTCGGTCGAGGTGGATCTATCTCATCACTTCTTGCTCCTCTTCGCGACGGGCGGGCGATCTTCCAACTCCTGGTCAAAACTGGAGCTTGGCGATATTCGCTGGGTGTCTATGTATATACAAAACTTAGGAAATCTCGTCTCTTCAAGGCTTTGGAGTTCGATCTAGACCAGAGTTGCCGGGTTTGGGGATCAAGCTTGGAAGTCGATGCTTAAGGCTTAGCTCAGGATTTGGGTTTAGGGTTAAGGTGTTCTATTTCACGATCTCGCGAAAGCACTGCAGCTAGATTGGGGGATCACGGAGCAGCTTCCGACTCTCGCCTTATCTTGCATGTATGGGTTTAGGTCGGGGGTACGGAAAGAGGTTTAGGGTTTAGGGTTTTGGGTTTAGGGTTTATAGGGTTTAGTACGGGTTTATTAAATGCTTATTATAATGGGTTTAGGGTTTAGGGGTGCGGTTCCGGATGCGGGGTCGAGTGGCCTCCACAGGCTCAACATCACCAGACCATCCAGCCAAGAATTTGGCTAGCAACCACCTGAAGTGGGGTTAAGGGTTTATAAGTTTAAGGGTTATATAGGGTTTTAGGTTTCAGGGTGCACCACACAACCCCAGAATTTTAAAGCATACATAACCCGAACCAAGGTGCGATCGTGCCGGCCCGCCGTGCTTGTTCCACGACACGGAGGCCCCGGCTCCGTTTGTGGCCTCGTGTCCGACCTTGTTATGCACAGTACTAGTAGTACTAGCTAGTATATAGTACACTTGTACTGCTGAGATCGAGCGAGTGACTTTGTGTGCCTTAGCATCTTGTGGACGGCAAACTCGCTGGATGTAGAAGGTGGAGGTGTCCAAACGAACAGATATAGGGTTGATGGCCGGGTTGTCCACTTCACCACGGGGCGGCCAAACGGTGTAGGTTCTTAGCTTTAAGTTTGGCTTCGCGAGCAGAAATAAGACCTAGAAAAAACAACCATAACCCGGTAACCCGATCGTCCAAAAAAAGTTTTATAACTTAAGCTTAAGCTATACTACCCCCCCCCCCCAAAAAAAAAATATATATATATATATATGCTGCAGTTTGTACTAAGCAGGACATGCTACTTGCCTGTGAAACCCACGGCTGGCTGAAGGTCCTTGTGAGCTTCGGCGAGAGACCTGATAACGATCACGTTCGAGTCCGCTTGTGTCTGCCTCCTTTGCATGCACTCTGCATTCTCCTTCGCCTGAGCTTTGGCCTTCCCCTTGGGTTTCGGCTTCGCCTTGGGGCGAGCCCCTTCCTCCTTCATCTGTGCCTCATCTGCGGCCTGCTTCTCCGCCTCATCTGTGGCCTGCTTCTCCTTCATCTGCGCCTCATCTGCGGTCTGCTTCTCCTTCATCTGTGCCTCGTCTGCGGCCTGCTTCTCCGTCTCATCTGTTGTCGCAGCTCGGCCTCGGCCTCTGCCTCTGCCTCTGCCTCTGCCTCTGCCTCTGCCTCGGCCGGGGTTCACAGCCTTCTGCATCGGATCGCTTGGGCAGTCTGCCGCTGGAATCTTCTTCTTCGAAACCGGGGGCGTGCACAAATCTCCCGAAGACATCTTTCGCTTCATGGCCGCCTTCGTTCGAGGTCCAAGCTGCTCATCGGCCTCACATGTGTAACTGCATACATAGGTATATGATGTTGTATGTCATGTATGTATATGTGTGCATGCACACATGTGGTTCATGCCCCGTGCCTTTGCAGCATGATGCTCTCGTTTCTGAGTCGCATTATTGACACGTTGTTTGTCCCTCGTGCCATTGACATCGATATCCAAGCTAGCACCCTCTGGTTCCTCGAGGTCTGCCGGGAGCTCGTCGGTCTTTGCAAGGAGTGGCTTACGGTCCTTAAGGGATGTAGGCTAGATAGAAACTTAGCTTCTAGAACCCCAACCCAACCACTAAGCCATGATACATGTACATGACTTTAGTAGACCGGGTGGGTCATCCCTACGAACCGGCAGGCCTTGAATCCGGCTGCCGACCCATCGCGACTGGCCACGGGTGCTGGAGCTGCTGCCTCGCTGAGCTTGGGCCGCATCTGGGTCGCCGCCGACATTTCGTAGTCATCATCCATCTGGTCCAGCTCAAACAAATCTTCGGCGCCCAGAACCAGCGACGGGTGTGGAACATCCTGATATATGATCAATATACATATATAGAGTACTCGAGTTCGGTTTAGGCTCTGGGGGGTTGTACTAGAAAGGCTCCAACTCACACCGATTGCCACCCTGGTACTTCGGGCCCCAGAAACTTCGCGAAGTCACCATCGGCCTGCAAAGATCGTCGGCTCATCAGCCGATTCATCTCCAGACTCAGATCCTTAAGCTTGGTTATTGCACTCATGTGAAAGATACTCGTATGCTAGTATCGTAGTTATGTTATGTCGAGGCTCATCTTCCAAGTTTCGAGGTTGGATTCTGTCGATGGCTTGAGTCTCGTCTTCGGATCCCGAACGGACCTCCAGAGACACGGACTCCGGAGGCTCCTCGGCGTCTTCGGCCTCGCCGCTGCCGGCCTTTGTGAGCAAAGGGGTCCGGATTCATTAGAGCTTATCCTACCCTAGAAACCCCACCCTAAGCACAATAACATAGTGATAGATGACTTGCTAGTAAACCTAGCAGCAATCAATCACACAATATAGTGTTAAGGCTAGCCAGTGGCATCATCACCCCCAACCTCATCATCACCATCAGGGGTATCGCCCTCGCCCTCGGGATCGGGATGCTCAGGGTTCTCGTTGCCCTCAGCCTCGGGGATCTCGTTGCCGTCTTGATCGAGAAGCCCAAGCCGCAGAGCCAAAAGGCGTTTGAGAACTTGTGTTCTTTTGGACCTCGTGAGATTCTGATTAAAGCTTGCTTCTGATCCTTTAGGGTTTTAGGGCTTTAGGGTTTTAGTTTAAATAGGGTTTGGGGTTTTTGGGTACCAAGCCAGACGAGTAACTTGGCGTACACGGTTCGACGTGTCACTCGTGCGAGCTGTGCCAGGATTGCACGAAGTCTGCCCCCTTCAAGGTTGCTCCAATCCTCACGGGAAATCGGAACATCTAGATTTTAAGGCCTGGGGTTAGGGTCTAGACGGTGGCTCCTTCACTGCTTGCTTCCCACCCCTTTTCCGTACATCGGGGTGTAAGCCGTGGACACAGCTCAGGTGCACGAGAGCGGTCTGATCACAGGGTCATGGTTCAATCGGTGCTACACACCAGCAGCCATCAACGAACATGAAACTCGCAAGCCTTGAAATCCGCGAGGTTTGGTATCCCTGAAGGGCCCACGGCACGGACCACGAAAGTCTTCAAGAGCTCGTAGTTCTCGTGAAAATCTCCTTCGCCAACCTCAGCATGACAACCCAACCCAAAGCTTAGCAAACCCGGCCCGTGGAGGATGCAACCCAACACCACCTAGTCCCCACCTTGGTGCTGCTGTTGTCGCTGGGCATCACCAGCTTCAGAGCCTTAACAGAAGCATGTTCTGGACCCCCCTGAACGAAGCAAGAGGACAGAAGCTTAAAGACAGGCCACCGGATCTTCTTTGATCCCCTGGAGGTTCGCCTCCAAATAGGGACGAATGCCATCTGCAATCTTTTCCGCCGTCTCCTGAAACAGGCCCCCGCCCCACCCCGCTCCAATATAGTCCCAGGCCAAATCTTAGCATGCAGCTTGAATGCAGAGTGCAGACCAAGCATCGTTGAGAAAATATTTCATAGGCTGAGTAAATCGCCGCCCATCCATACCGGCCATGGCACCCAGAAGACTCAGATCTAGAGTCGATTCCAAAGCAACTGCAACGGAAGCCTGAAGATCTGAGACCCTTTTTTTGCGAATCTCCGGTTGGAGCCGTAGCTAGTGGACCTAGTGACCCAGTGAAGCCGAAATCAGTGACCGAAGCGAACCCGAGTGAAGCTCCAAATCTATGACCGAACTGAAGCTCGAAATCTATGACCGAAGTGAACCCTAAACGAAGTTGAAATGTGCGACCGAATGGAACTGAAGAAATGCTGCACCCCTGCACATGCTGAAAAAGCTGCGATTGAGGGCAGCACGTGCACACTGCAGTCTGAACAGATGCCCTCCAGCAGTGCAATGCAGAGCAGGGGGGGTGAATGGTGGCACCTGTCGTCGCAGTCGGCGCATGCCGTTTTTGGAATTGCAAGGAGGCTCGCAGCATTATCCGAAAGATCTACGTATTATTTGTCGGGCATTGTTTAAAGCTGTGTCGTCGGGCATCGTTACCTATTTATGCTTCGCTTGCGGACCTCGCTGAACATATATAGGGTTGGGTCCCAAACGGTCTACAGCAGAGTTGGCTCGGTATAGTGGAGCGGTGGCCACGATTACGGATGCTTTGCTTAAGCTACTCCAAATCCTGAATACCCAAATTCGCTGAGCATGGTTCTAAAGAGCTGAATCCATGATTGTGTCTAAGTCCATGCTGACATGTTTTTGGGCCGGAACCTCAACATTTGAGCACTCGGACCCTCAGGGAAGTATAGTTACCTTATTTCCAACCC